CCCCAAAACCCCAAAACCCCAAAACCCCAAAACCCCTCAAAATACAATCTTGGCTGAATAAAATTATAAGAAAATTAAGCCCTTAAGATGGGTAAAAAGAGGAGAAGCCAATCTGTAGAGAATCCTCCAGAGTCTACAGGCCTGAATGGGCAAGGAAGAATGTATAAATCTCAGAGCAACAAGCATATTAAAAGTCAAGGGAATTTAAAGACCTTAAAGGCTAAAACTTCTGTGCTTAACAAGCCTGGTACTATTGGAGCTCTCAGCGTATTTTCTAAGGGAGGGTTCTCACAAAATATCTCAGCAAATGCTTTAAGGAACTCTCATTCACAATGGTCATTTGGAAAAGCCGACAGATTTAAGAAGTTGAGGATTGATAATTCCGCGAAAATGCTTGCATTGCCAAATACATTGAATGCGAAAACTTCAACTTTTGGGTATGGAAAAAAACAGCCTTTGCAGATTATTTTTGGGAAAGATTCGCCTCCTCCATCATTATACAGAAGTAGGTCTCAGTTCGATTATAAGCCTGGTACTGGAAAAAGTATTGGAATATCATACTCTGCTTATCAAAAGGTACATATGCCTGGGCTTAATACGAGGCTGGATGAGATCCCTGGACCAGGGTCTTATGAGTGCAAGACAACACTTGGTGCTAATTCTCAAAAGTTTTCACTAAAGTCTAGAATAAAGCCTGCAGATAGTGCGACTAGAGATAATCCTCCTCCAAACAACTACTCTCCAAACTTCCGTCTAACTGAGAGATCAGGATTCGAGGATGTTGCATTTGGATTTGGGTCTCGGCCAAACGTCACAGGAAGGATTAATGAAAATCCAGGACCAGGTTCTTATAGAGTTCCCTCTGTCTTTGATAAATTCAAGAATATTCCAAATGCTTCATTATTGAAAACTTTGCAAAAATATAGAAAGAAGGGAAGAAGGAAGATCACCAAGCCAAAGTTTTCAGAAAGGAGCTTAGCTAAAAATTTCAACCAGAATGAACCTGAAGAAGCTCCACTCTCTTTGAAGAATGAAGATGAAAAGTCAAATTCTTGAAAGGAGGAGGATGCAGCTAATTCTGAGAAACTTACTCCTGAGAGTAAGAATGAGTCTGAAGAAAATTCTATCAAAAAGAATCCTGAAGTGGAATAGAATTTAGAAATTGTTGCAATTTTTTTATTCATATTCTTGATAATCAATAAATGAAAAATAATAGGGGTTTTGGGGTTTTGGGGTTTTGGGGTTTTGGGG